TTGGTAAATTCAAAGATTCCAATAATTCCTGTATTTGATTATCATTATTGATTTCTGCTTGAGAATATAATTTTTTGTAATAGTTTTCAAAACAATTTTGAATTTCCTCTGTCTTATATTTAACCACATTAGAGGAGTCCCTGATTTTGAAAATATTATTATTTACCACTTGTTTTTTCATTCTATAAGCTAGTAATTTAGCTGATTTACCTCCTCCTTCATAATACCTTTGTTTTGTGTACAGAAGGTTTTTTTTATTTCATCTTCCAAAATGCAGTTTATCTCTGTTTGTATTCTTTTAATTTCTTGAGATTTTTTTTCATCCAAAGAGAAGATTTTATGTTGCTTTTCTAATTCTTTTAATTCCAATTGTAACTGTCTAAGTTTACCCTGTTTTTGCCTTTTTAAATATGCTGATTTGGCAATTAGTTTCCCTCGAAGTACTGCTTTGCATGCATCCCACAGCGTAGCTGGTGATACCGCCCCATTATTATTTTCCTTTACATATACAAGTTCATCCTTCATGTTCCCCTGTAATAAGCCTGTATTTAGTCTCCACATTGTTGTTTTTGTTTCCTTTGACAMTTCCAGGGTGATATATACTGGACTATGATCTGATATATCTCTTACTCCAATGTCACAATTTTCCACTCTGTAACTTTATTATACATAAAGAAATAATCGATTCTTGAACAAACTGAGTGAGGCGGTGAAAAGTACGTGTAGTTTCTGCCTGATGGATTTAGCTCCCTCCAGAYATCCATTATTCCCAGCTCTGCCATTAATTCTTAAAATTTTTTGCTAATTATAGATTTTTGCTTCCCACCGTCCGAACAATCCAGTTGTGGGTTCAGTCTGAGGTTTGAATCTCCACCACACATTAGAATACCTAACCCTAACCCACCCCCTCCCTTCTCATTTTACCCAATACTTTAGACCTTTTAACTGGGTTGTTCAACCCGTTCACATTAAAAGAGGCCAACTTTAAAACCTTTTTCTGTGTTGTCATTTACTCCTTGTGATTCCTTATTTTCCACCTTCTCTACACCTTTAAGAACCCTTAGGCTACAGATAAACAAAGTAATAATGAACACATAACTGAACGGTTTCAAAACGTTCACTGATGAACTAGTGACTAACCCAAGAACTTCCCAGAGTGGGGTCTGCACTTTGACCCTTTGTAAGCCATGATGAATACCTGCCCATAGGGATGTCCTCCCCCTGCCAGAGGGAGTGGGCCCTTCCTGTTGCAGTTAGCTTTGTTCATGTTTGCACCTCCGCCCTAAAGTCCACAAACAAAAAAAGGAGGATACCCCGACCCTAATGAAGAAAAAACTCCCTCAGGAAATAAGTAAATAAACAATAATTCCATTAGCTTGACCCGAGTCATAATTCCCTAAGCCCCGGTTTTTCCCCTCAACTTTGAATAGACCCATCCAAAAAAACACCAGATATCTTAAATACCTCATTTAAAAGGCAGTAGTCCTTAAATCTCATCCTGACTTCTCCTAAAACCTTGCAATCGTTGTTTGTATCCTTCTATTGTCTCTCTCGGTGTCTGTCCTCCTTTCTTGGCCCCGATGGTCTTCCAAGTCAGGCGTCTGATCTTCTCCAAGCTGTTCTCCGCCGGTCTGGTCACCGCCACCTGCAGCCCTCGCTCCGCCATGTCTTTGGTCGCCTCCTCAGCCGTGTTGTAGATCCGCGTCTCTCCCACGTAGAAAACCCGCAGTCTCGTTGGGAATGGCGTCTGGAACCGTATTTTCTTCTCCCGCAGGACTCTTTTCGCCTCTGTGTATTCCTTTCGTTTCTTCAGCACTTCTGGGGCATAGTCATGCTCCAGAAAAACTTTCTTCCCCTCGTACATGAATCCTTTCTTCTGCCATGCCTTCTTTAAGATCTCTTCTTTCACCCTGAAGCTCATGAACTTTACCACTATCGATCTCGGTGGTGATTCCGGGGAGGGACGCGGTGGCAGAGCCCGATGGGCTCTCTCTATCTGAAAGGGAAAAGATGGCGGCAGCTCCAGCTTCTCTCTCAGAAGTTTCTCAACAAATTCCGTCATCGTACCGGAGCTGTCCTCTGCCCCCTCCTCGAGTCCATGAATCCTCACGTCCCTCCTGATCCACAAGCCGTGTTTCGAACCGTTTCTGTAGCTCCAGGAGCTCCATTGTAGCTTCCTC